TATAGGGTTATGCAGTTTGGCACCGGTACGACAATGTTGTTTGAGGTGAACACGACAGTTTGCTAATTTCAGATTAAATATATAACATATACTGGAGGACACGGCAAACAGCAAGCCTAAGACTAACATTTATGTAAGACAAAGCAATTTGGAATTAAGCGATACGCGTAGTGGGCCGCATTCCACACAAATGAAGTCGATAAGCGGAGTATTCTCCCGCTTTGCATTCTGTTGCTTCATAGTCCTAAATGGCAAATTAGCTGACCTGTAATCAATGCAATTAGTAAGTTTACCGGCTAAAACTTTGAAGTAATAGAGACCCTCGTCAAAAAGGCGGGTGTACACTTTTTGGGCTCAGCCAAGTAGTTGTTCAAAAGGTGCAACTTGCGTGTCCTGCAGATAAATTAGAATCAAGCTGCAAACGGGCAAAAGCAAAATAAGTTTGCATTTTTTGGGTTTTCCACCTATCATCTCCAAGATTACATCTCACAAATCGGCTTTGGATCTTGGTATAAATTGGACACACACATAAACAACCAATTTAGAAAACCTCAACAAATAACACTCTGCATAAGGTTTGACGTTCCAACTGAACACATTCAATTCCCAAACGTACAGGCGCTGGTAAAAAGTGGTAAATTTCAGCGTCCAGTACACTTTCCAAATTTCGGATATAACCAACGAGATCAAAAGAAGACTCTGCCAGAGATTGAAAAGATGAAGACGACTCGATTGGTGGGACAACACATTTATTTGCATGACGTTTATATATCCGTCGCGGATTCACCAGTACATAAGCAGGCAGGAGAAGCAGATACGCATAACATATGCACATGAATTTGCAGAATTTATACAAAACAGTGTGTGCATAATTAGGAATATGTTACCATCACCTATGATTAGCGATTCCCGACGGAATCCGAAACGTCAGGAAAATAAAACTCTTGTTCGTAATTGCCTACTTGCGCGTTGATAGCTTGTTGATCGGCATGTGGGCCCTGGCTTGCAGAACCTTCAAAACGCGTGGTGGACTCGGACGTGATGATTATTCAGCGAACCAGAAGACCAAGTCACCGAAGTACAATAACTTCGAGGGGTGTTCAGAAAAAATGGTTACCCCCGCAGCTTCATAAACCGGTGCTTTCGTAAAAAGATAGCCAACAAAATCACACTGACTCCAAAATTTGGCGAACGATCCCGTACTGCAAAAACGTCTCGGAGGTTTTCGGCCACCTTCTCGCACCACTTGGAGTTGGAGTCGCACGCAGGCCGGAGGCAAACATAAGGCGTCAGATAATGAAACTGAAAGACGCACTGCCACGGCAAAAAAGCATCTGTAGTCGTCTACAGGATCTGGTGCAGTTGGGGACAAAGTAACTACGTCGAAGAAGCTGGCAGATATCTGAAGATGTGAATTGCTGAGGACGCGGCAGCATTGCGACGAAATGATGCAAATTCCCAACTTTCAGCTCATTCGACGGGACTCGGTCACACATTCAAATTTAATGAAGCCTTAATTCTTGCAAGAGGTTACGATTGGATGAGCCGAGAATAACGTGAGTCATGGTTTACTTCCCTAGATCCATAAACAAGCGCAACGATCTGCCGAATCCATATTCGGTGCTGCGACTCAATCTGTTCAAAGCAAGTCGATACTTGGGGAAGGCATAGGCCACCGCCTCGTCTGACGTCAACACCGCAGAGCCAGCTGGCCGAACAATCATCACGCCCGAGTCCACCATGCGTTATGAAAGGTCAGCAAGTTGGAGCTTAACAAACTATCAACGCACAAGAAGGCATTTACTGTTGTCGTATGCTTGTAGCAATTAAGTATCCTATAAATATTGCAAATGCCTGTGCATATGTCACCCGTATCTACTACTGCTTCCTGCTTATGTATCTGATGATGTATCCGCAATGGATTTCGAAACGTCAGGCAAATAAATGTGTTATCCCAGCCATCGAGTCGTCATCTTCTTAATTACTTCCTGGGACTCACAGGCCCGCTTGTATTGGCAGTTTGCTAGATATCTTCTTTTGAATATGGAGCTCTACATAATACTCATTTTTGAATGTGACGTTAAATTGCACTCTAACTGTGTCTCTGGCAGTGGCTAGGCCTATTTTTGCACTGCGTTTTTCGAACTGGTTGAATTTTGTTTCAATGACGTCAACTTGCTCAGCAGACAAATTATACCGACAAATAATGTGCTTTAGAATGGAATTGAAAGTAGAACAAAACATTTTAGTCATGCCACATTTGATGCGTGTTCTCGTAGAAAAATGAGTTGAAATATAAGACTGTACTTCAATCAAAATTCACTGGTAAATTCATGAAAATAAGACGAACTAGCGGAACACAATCCTTTTAGTATGGGAATCAACTAAACTATAAATACTGTTCGACTTTTTTAGATTTCTGCGTTACTGAATGCCTACAAATCGGGTAGTTTAAGTAAGAAATGTCAATAGCCAAATACTAGTAAAAACTAAATACGTTAAGAGGAAATACTTAGCAATGAAACACAAACCTCGGACTGATACATGGAGTTCACGTTCTTTTCCATTTAAACGTAAGTCGTAAAGAAATCTCCCGTCACTTGCTGATTTTCGAAGCATCTGCAAATTAACTGGTATGCCGTCACTTCCGTTGCTTTTCTTGACGTTGTTTAGCCCGTCTGAAATGTTTACGAAGCAGCCTTTTGAACTCCAGTTATCGCTGTTATATTGAAAAGGTTCCACATTCTGAATTTAAGAAAAATAAAATCGTAATTTAATTTAATGTTAAATATGATCATTATAAACCTGGCCTCATTTCAAAACGCAATCTATTTTTCATTTATTAAAGACTGGGATTCGAACTAGATAGATGACTGGCATAATATATCACAGCAACTGAATCCGTTTATGTGTTGAACTCGTGCCTAAATGTTTAATTTTGTAAACTCTGATTAGTTTACTTTTGCTTTGAGTGAATTGTCTTACAATATAAACTATATACCCTGCTATGATTTTGGCTCGTGAAATAGGAAACCAAGGGAGAACTTTATTCCGGAGTGGTTGGTGGCAACATGCCCCGCTAGATTGCCGAACATCGGAAAGGTATTAAAGAAACTGGCTGTGTAGTCTCATATTAGAGTAAAGGTTTTTGATTGAGGAACTTTTTAATACGCAGCAGGTTTTCAAAACCACAAAGGACAAAATGTTTAGGCTTGAGTGCTATAACGTGTTTAATGTTTGGACTGCTGTTACTTGAAATCTCTGCGTAGCGTTTCAAAAACTTAACTCAAAAGCATTTCTGTTCGCCTCAGAAGAGTAAAGACCTCAGGTTAGCTTATGTTATAACTTTACTATTGTACTATTCTTGAACTCGCATATAGCCCAATTTCAAAAATAAATAGGAAATGGCAGATCAAAAGCAAGAGGTGTGCCCTTTCTGATCTAGGGGCATGCACGCTTTGTGTCGATAACTAAAGTTAACAACTCCTTAATGGCGAAATGGGGCAAACTGACCGCTAATCGACCAAATATGTGATCTGGCACATCGCACTGACAATACATTAATACAATCGGATAAATGAACACAAGATAATAAAAGGCATACCTATTACCTTATTTGCATCTAGGCCGGAGACAAAGTGTCGTCCGCCAAGTGACTTCCTGGATCGTAATCTCTCACCCAGGGTTTTAAAGAGAAACCCAGCATCATACTACAATTAATGCTGTCCTCACCCGACTACTTATATACTTTTAGTCGAAATGCTCAGACTTGTGGTCTTTCTGTTTTAGCGTTTTCCTTAATTGGCTTTCCGGAAATAGGAAAAGAAAAGGGACGCAAACTAGTTAATAACTGCTCTTTTGGGTTTAGTGAGGGCATTTAGACGAACAGTCACAATACGTTTTCCGGAATGACGCAGACGTTTTCGTTTGTGTCGTTTCATTAGAATGATAACGGGCAGCATGATTAGCCGTATTTGCAACAATGTTGTCAGATATAAGTCTCCCTTTGGAGTATAGTCACTTGCAATGCTAACATCTACTCTATGACCTTAGCACTATGAACAATTAATGACTGCGGTGAACAGTGCACAATGACTTTACCTCAAATGCTCGCAAATAAATGGGTTGAGCTCGAGGTAAAGAAATTAAAGGAGCTTTTTAACTAAGCTCGACAAAACGATGAACTTTACAACATTATTGTTATCTTGTAACATTTCTAAGGCAATTCCTAACAATAAAGTCGGTAACGATTTCTTTGCAGTGCATCAGCGGTGGACCAATTTAATTGCTCCCATCCGTATTTAACTGCGCTGGAAATAAATTCATCTTGACTTCCAAAAAACAGCTTATTAACGCACTACACGCGGCAGTAGTGACTATTAATGCATAAGAGCAGGAACGAACGCCAGTGAATATTAAAACGTTTTCTTTTTTTGACTGAAACAGGAAAAGAATCCGACAAACATGTTACGAAGGTGGTTGATAACTCCTAAAAATCGTTTAATGATTTGTGGCATACTATTTTAACGCATACTGCACTGGAAGATTAAAACGTTCATTAGAATCTTCGGAAATATAAATATATATGTTCATTTTATTAAATAACTAGTAAAATTCCACGCAAACGGATCTAAAGTGTCGAACCCTTAGTCACTCACCAGCAGAAAAAACTGCTATCTTACACATGTAAGGTTCCGAATTACAATGTTTAGGATATGATATAACCCTTATATAACAAAGCAACCAAACGTGGACTAATAATCGTAAGCAAATGACATAAATAATCCAAATATCAAAAACCTGCGGATAAACTATGAGTTTATTCTTAATAATATCAACGAAAGCTTACTTTCTGTTTGCAAAGAGGAAAAAACAGATTAAGCCAACTTTCTACAGGGCTCACGCATTAAGTCATTTCCCGAAGTGATAGTTCGATTCTTTGCCTGTATCTCAGGCGCTATCTTTTATACGTACTTTAATTTGTAAATAGTAACTTGCGTTCACTGTTTACTTGCCTGAATTACTACGTACTTCTGCTCACGATGTCTATAAACTTTGACATTTTCATGTACTGCCACAATGCGCTTTGTCAGGTCCACTAACTGGTAGAGGTACTTGGGGGTCTCTTCCCCTTGATCCGACAATTTGCTGGGATCCACATCCTCCCTGGAGGTAAGCGGTTCAGTCTGCTTAGTCGCGAATGCACTATTCTGACGCGACTTCACAAGCACCGCATCTGTGGTTGTTGGGGCATTACCCTTGTAGTGGAGCGAAAATAAATTGTCCAGCAAGGCAGTAAATACACCGGCCACAATTGAGACTGAGTGAACATAAGAGTGGGCGCGTAACTGCCCTCCGACAGGGGTGGTCGGTCCATGAGGCTGAGTTCGAGCGGAAAATGTAATGCTCATATTTATATGCAGTCTGTCAGTCTTTTCCATTCTCTTGACGTGACACTCGTAGACTTCCTGTCCAAATTTGAAGTCCGGAGTGAGCGTAAATTTAAGTGTCTTTCCTGGATGACAAGGAAAGAAAAGAAAAAGACAGAACTCGCGTTAGCTATTCACAGTGTTGGTTGATTTTGCGACTTTTTTCCTGGCGAGTCAATTTCGCTGGTTTTAATACAAACCAGACAGACGAGTTTTGAAATGTAGGAAAAAAACTATGTCAATTCAAAGTAAACTTTGAATTGAACTGTAAAATATTTCATTAAAATTACAAAACTCCAAATTAAATTGCAAAAATTTGGAGAAAAAAGGGATTGACTTGTTCCTCGACGGAATCGCAGTTGTCCCTCCATCAAATCAAAACGTACCGCCAAAATTTGCATTTACTGCATATCCGAAATTTATCCGCCGATGCTCAGTCTCAGTAGGACTGAAACACTCGTTGAAACTGGCATGTCGTTACAATTCCGAAAGTCCTCAGCTCTTGGCTGCGTCCATAGAATACGAATGCTTGTGAATGTTGAAATGAATTACATAAGAAGTTTAAGAAGTGACCCTCATATACCCCTAGTCCCACCATTTTTTCCTACGGAAACGGTGGTTATAGGGATTAAGGGGTGGGGAAATAGGATAAGCAGTGAAGGAACTTTGTAGAAGTGTAAAGTGGAAAAATGTAATTGAATTTGCTTCATGCGGAAGGTTGGAGTAAGTTGCTCCGCATATAAATTAAATATGTGTGCAGTGCATCGCGCCAGAACGGTAAGTTAGACCTCAGGTAATTTGAAGTAGACGACCTTCTAGCCACTATTTCCATTTTTTCAGGAATTTATAAAAAACGTGCATTTAGGTAATCGGGTTTTTCCGCAATACATTAAACGATAATACATATTAGGGAAATCTACATATAAAAATCAACAATATTTCTAAAACAAAAAATGCATTAAGCAATTATTAAAGTATATTCCATTGCCTATCCGAATTCCTCACGCATAAAACCCTTATATCCACCGTTTCCATAAAAAATGTTGGAAACAGGGATATATGACTTGCACTACTTAAAATACTGTTGCCGAATTTATAAATGTTTCCCTCATCGTTGGTACGGTTTTCGACTAAGGAGCCAAAGTTATTTGAGATTGCACTCGACAATGCTAAACGACCCGCCGTCAGAAAGGGCGGCGCAAACCTCCACAAGGTTCATTTTAAACTTAATATGGTAATTTTTCATATCACTCCCGGGTTTGCAGCAAATTTGAGCAAAGATCAAAGTCACTTAAACTCAAACTCCGCTGCCCAAAGCTCTAACTTTACTGCACCTTACAGGTGATTAACACCCACGAGGTGGTTTACAGAAATATTTGACTTATTTTAGTCCATAATTCAAAACTCTAATGTGCTTGGACCTTACAATCAAGCTAATGGTTTAACACTAAGACATTTCTATGAGAAACGTATATTGTGTCGGCGTACGTTTTTATATAATAAGCATTAGGGTCAAATGAATTTTTTAAAAAAAACTTTGACCAGCTTGATGAAAAGGGAAGACACTGATAAAATCCTCTTTGCCTTTGCTTTTAGTTTTGTAAAAACTACTTGCTGTGGCATTTGTGTCAATGTTATATTCATCTTACCAGCAGAAATACAGAAATACAAAATGATTTTTTTAAGAAATTACTCGCGCCAGTTTGAACAGAAAGTAGACTTATCACTCCAGGCTCAGTCCTTTTGTTGGGTAGCAATTTACAGTACCATATAATGGAAAATCTTTGTTCGAGGCCGAATTAAGTCAGTTCTTATAAGCCAACAGTTGCTCGATTAGCCCCAACTTTATCAGCTGCAGTGAGAAGTTTATTAAGTCATTAGCCATACTTATCCAGCATGCCTTCGTTTTCAAACTGCCCATGGAATGAGGTGATAATTGATGGTAATCGAATTATGGAGATTATTCCACCAAATGCGAGAACAAAAGTAAGTCCAGCAGCTCACATTCTCATCCATAAACATGCTAGATCAGTGCAAGTGTCTCCCGTGTCGCTTTAAATCATTCTTTGCTAAACAGGAACAAGTCTTTTCCATCCGGTAGTCAAGTGAGACAATTCACAGTTAGTCTCTTTACGGCTTTTGTTTCCGCTTGGAACTGATGGAGCGTGAGTCTTTGGAATGGCATTGATGTTGTTAGAATCGTATTCATCAAAAAAGAGAGAAAAAAAACGCGGATTCCAGTTTCCGGTCTTTCGGGAGCGGGATTAGGTTACGAAAGACTAACAAGAGCAAAGAATTCGCTGTCTCTTTCCTCGCCTGAACACTTTAGCGGAAATTCCCCAAGTGCTGGGTCATGGCATGCCGAAAAGTCGTCTCGACGATGCTGCGTTTAATGAGTCTCAAGTGGAAAATATCGGTTGCTCCAGTGATGTGCCAATAAAAAAGGACAATAAAGAAAAAATAGATAATTTTAAAGAGTTTATGTAGGTTTCCTAACCGCTTAAATACTTTCGATAAGGGAACGTTGCTAATGCGTGTATATCGGAGACGAAACTATATTGTCTTCATTAAGAAACCCGGTACTGCGTCTGTTGAGCAGTGTTTTAACAAAACCGTATGCTATCATAGTCCAAGTTTCCAAAATTTGTGGAATTTGTTCAGAATGAGAGTTTATATTGCGAGAAATGTCCAAGAGGAAGCAAAACAAAGCGATGCATTAGACCTTTCAACGACCTATCATATAGAGAAAGTTGCTACTTAGTAAACGTTCAGACCTTTAGGCAAAATAGTCTGCTTATGTGCCCATTGCACGTGCTGTTGGCCAATAAGATCACTTTCCTCTTATGCAGTTTCTGTAAAGCAGTGTCCTATTCTCCATATCAAACCCCCAAAAAAAATGGATTTATTGTAATATATGGTTCACTTCAAATCATAATTTTGACTGAATCCTTGATTTCATGCTTTATCATTTGCAGTCTCTAGCGGTGCAGCTTACATTCCCCGATAAAAATATATACAGTTCAAGCAAATTTCGCAAATAAGCAGGACTTTGTAAAATGTAGGCCAATATATTTGGAATATTACTTTTGGGTACGTAAAAAGTGTTAGGTAAAGCAGATAAAGCCCTGTTATTTAACCGATGCGACTCAATAATTCATCAGATTCCGCAAACCAACCGAATTTGTTTCTAAAGTTAATTTCATTATGCCCTCAAGACATGCGCGACCACAAGATGATTATTTGAAGACATGCAAGTTTCGGTGCATTGTTTCCGCATGGATTGATCTCTACCAGTGGCAAGTTTACACTCAATAACCTTTGCTATTTCTGGCTCAGGGGACAAATTTCAGAAGAGTACAGTGGTTTCATATTAGCATCGCAAATTGTTTGTATACAACCTCAAAGGTCGCTATTACTCCTCACTGAAAACATTTTTTATAAAAATAAATCAATTGAACAATTGGCCTCCTAAGTAGTATAATATCATCGGAAGTTCTTCTGGACGAAAATAACTTTTTGTGTTAATTTACCCCTTAGGTACCACCAATTCTCCTTTAGGCATGTGGTTTTTGTAGAGAAACCAGTTATATTTAAACAATACCTAATAAAAAGTTTGCAATAAGCCGCTAATACTACTAATTATTATTTCAAAGTGTCTGAGGGGAATTAATAACCACCTTCTTTCGCAGTTTTTAGAGTATGTACAAGTCTGCAAAATTACAGATTCTCGCATAAAGTTGCTGTAGTGTTTGTTATTATGAAAGTGCTCGGTTTTATTTTTTAACAGAAAACAGTTCACTATAAGAAGAATTACGTTCCAGAAAGTATCCTTCTACTTCCTGGGCATTTTTACACAGAGAAAGTACCTTGTAGCTTGTGCTTGCAGTACAGTTCTGGAGAAGAAAAGAATCGAAAATCTGTAGCAGGGAAGCCACATTGACGTGGCACTATATCATAAACAATAATGCGGCTTGTATGTAACAATTTGAACGCAATAGGCCTACGAATAATGGAAAATCTAAAATGTATTTACATTTCGTTTGGCGGATACTGATATAACAAGAAGTACCTATTATTCATATAAAATAGCTTTGATATTGACGTAGGAAGAATTTGATGTCGTCTGCAATTGCAATGAACTGCCAAAAATTTTCTCCAATACGATTTTTCCATGACTGTACATCGACGCCTACAGGGAGCTTCTGTTTAAAGGAACTGACCGAGACAACGTTTTATGGTTGACTAATAGATTTGTTGTGAAAATTCATCAAAATGTAGACCTCATTTCAGACAACGCGCATCTTGGTGAACCTCATATTTCACTAGCCTAAGAGGCGTGTTTGCCTCCGATATACCGTAAGTGCAACGGTACGGAAGAGAATATGCAATGAAAAGAAAGAAGATCTTCGGAAAATCGATTTTCCACAGATCTTTTATTCTTTTGCAACTTACTTCACTTATCCAGAATATGCAATATTCAATAGTGTAGCCAATTCTGGTCTCATTCAAGTGAAGGGACTTCGAATTCTATTTGAAAATGTGAGTTGATTTTCTTGTAAAGGAAGATTTCGAAAACTATGCTATTATATTGCAACGACGAAAATTGAGGGATTGGAAATGAGAACAAATGTCGTCGTACGTTTATCGGATATTTAACGCAGAAAGCCTGCATGGTTTAGGCGCTCTATGGCTGCATTTATAAACCTAAAGGTGTTTTCTTCATGAATAAGAAAATTATCGAATTTATATTTAAAGCACTATTTTTCATTAATAAACATTTGCATGGTACCCGTAAATGCTTAGGTAAACATTTTAGAAACACTAAATCAAGTGATATATTTATTGCGGAAATTTTAAAAAAAAGGACGTAAATATGCTTCAGAAGTATTTCTCAGAGGTAGCATTATTTGCAGAAAGAAAACGAAATAACGTCGGTCGACAACTATTATACAGCATGCCTAGCGAGAATATACAAATTATCTTTCCGGTTCATTAAGCCAAAACAGATAATT